TTTTCACAGGTGTATCTTGCTACACCTGGCCTCTGTATGGAGGCTGGCAGTTCAAACTCACGCCATCAAGCTTGGGCAGCAGGCACTTTACCCAGAGCTGTCTCAGCAGGCTCGTGCTCTGATATTTTTCACCTTTAGCACTCTGATCTCATTCAGCATTCATCTGTGGTCTGCCTGGGACACTTGAGACACTCCTGGAGACATGAAGTTGAGTGCAGTGTGGCCTGTAGCCTCAAGGCCCCCATCAATCCATGGCCTTTTCCAAAGCAAACACTAAGCCACATATCTTGGACCCTCTGCTCAGGCTCTCTGTAGTCTAGCTCACCATTCACTCACTACATATGCTTAATGAAAGTTTATCAAGTTACAGGTGCAGGAGCTAGCTAGTCATGAAACAGGAGTTGGCAAATTTCTCAGAACCAGTACTGAATAACGAAACGGACTGTCTGGTACAGTTTGGACCTGAAATGGTCACAAGTAGTCTACATATGGAAGGCCAGGGCCTCAGCCTGAAGTGCTCTCAGAGATGATGGAACCTTGGAGACAAGAAGCCTAGTAGAAGGGTGTTAGGTCATTGGGGTATGTGACCTTGAAGGACATATTGAGAAGAGATTCTCCCCCTCACTCCCCTCTCTTTCTCTCTCTCTCCTCTACTCAGGAGTTTCTTCTACCACACATTCCCACCTGACAAGTATCTCACCACAGACCCAAAGCCACTAACAAGTCAATAGACTAGTATCCCTCAAACCTTGAACCCAAGTAGGCTTGCTTCCCTTTAAGTTGCTTACCTTGGTTATTTCATCATCAAAGGGGTGTAAACCTTATAAATACACCATTGAGAAAAGGAGATTTCTAACCAGCCAGAGAGGTCAGGAGAACAAACTCCAGGGAGGAATTGGCTCTTGACCATGACACGCAGGAAGGGCCTTGGTGAACAGAAACAGAGCCTTGGAAGGGGGTGTAGGGCTGGCACCAGCCTTTTCTCTTGCTTTCATCTGCCACGTGGGTAGTGAGTGTAGCATAGACACAGACAAGCTGCAGAAGTGGTGATATGGACTTTCTCACACTTTGGGTTCTAGACTGTTCTGCAGGAAAAGGAAAGCCCCTGAGGGTTTCACAAACTGTGCGGCTCCGTCAGCTTTGTGCCTCCCACCACGGAGCGTTCGGCTGAAGCACTGCTGTGTATGTTCCTTTTAATCTTATTTAGTCCGTGACTCGAGACAGTCTTGAAGGTTGATAGTTTCATTGTATGTGAATCATTCCTCAGCACAAATATCTAATAAAATCCTGCTGACCTCTGTTAGATAAGACGACATGAGTTCCCCCACGAGAAGACAACCCGAAACAGAATCAAAGAGAACAAACAAACAAAATCCCCATTTCCAAAGCGTCATTTTAGCTTCTGTGGGATGCTCTTTCTCTGCCCTGGAGAAAGATTTTGAAAGGAAGAATGGTGCAGTAAGAACAAGAAGGGAAGGACTTCTCATGTTCAAGAGTTCATGCCTCTTCCCTGCATGCAAGAGGAGAAACTGAGGCAGGCATAAAGCCAACAGCCATCTGAGTCACTGCAGGACATTCTTGAGCTCATGGAGACTGCTCCTTTCCATAGATAACTTCTTAACGACCAAAACACTCTTTTTTTTAAGAGCATGAACTTGAGTCTATAAAAGGTGGTCTATAAAAGGCCACCATTTCTGTTGCCGAGGAATTTCTGTTGCCGAGGAGACCAAATGGCATCATAATTTCTGGAGATGGGAACTCTAGGATTGGTGAGTCCCTTTCTGCAACAGTTCATTCAGGAGTCGGGGTCTCACAAGATACCCCTGCAGAAGTTAGCTGAGTGTGTTAAAGGGATTTATTCCCAGATAAATTGAATTATAAATATGAACAGTCCACAAAGGCAAGGCAGAAGGTGTTCTGTCTACCCCCGGGGACTGTTTTCATGAACGTTCTAATAGGTGCACCTCTCCTCCGACAGGCATTGGATATATCTGCCTCACCGCATGTGGTCATTCCTCTCCATTTGCTTAATGTAGCAGTCCCCGAGGGCTTGTAAACTCAGAATTGGACAGTCGGGATTAGGAGGTTAAGAAAACTGCCACACAGCTAGGTCTCATAACTCCACAGGCAACTTTTTACTGGCTGCTTATTTCTTAAAGCTCCATTTTAAGAGTCTCCAGAGAGCTATCATCCTTCCTTACACTCCATCAAGAGAGAAGCCCCAAGATGAAGCCAGCCCAGATTGTACCGGTCTCAGCAAACATGACCGGTCCTTCAGCTTTCATTGAAGAAGGATTTCTAGGAAATGAACAGAGAAGTGAAAGTTGTGGTCAGGCTACCACAAAATGAAGGAATATAAAAAGCCACTCAAGGACTTTAATTTCAATCCTAATGTGTTTTAAGTGCCTCATTTAAAGCGTCTCAGAACTTCTGCAAGTTTGCCTTTTTATTTTTTCTGGAAATTTGACTTTTACTTACTGTTTCTTTCTGACCACTTCTCACACTAGAAGACCCCAGAAAGCTCTCAATGGCGCTGTTATCCCGGAGAAGTAGGAAACTGGTGTGGTGTCCAGAGGAGGCTGATCAACAGGTAGGACTAGGTGGGAAGGCAGGAGCACCAATTCCCCAGGAGACCCACGGAGCTGGCTGCTTCCTCTGTGACCCAGAGATGCCCCAGGTCTGGTAGCTTCCTCTTTAGGTGATGATCAGTACCCCATTCACCAGAACCTGAACCCCCATAGACTGAGCCTGAGACGAACGAACCCAGCAGCTGTTGTCAGGGTAGGAGGTAAGGGTAGAGCCCTATGACATGCTACTAAATCACCAGATCCTCACAAGGGGGCTCAAGATCTTTGTACAAAGACGTGGTACCCGGGATTTTATAAGGTGTTAGAACATTTGGGTGGGGCACCCAGGGACTGTCAAGGAAAGCCAGCAGCCAGCAGGAGGAGGTGGGGATACAAGCTCTGGCTCAGTCTCTCCTGGCCAGACACACTGTACCCAGCGGAAGCATTCCCCATGTTTCCTGGGTCCTTCACGAACCTTCTCTCTTAGAGCACGCCTGCTAGTCCTGTCTATTGCTCCAGGAGGCTGCAGAGCCCCTCCTTGGAGCAAGGCTATCCCAAAAGTCAGGGGGTGCTGCAAAACCATAGAGGCAGAACATACAACTACTGGGGATGGCAGGGGAAGCCTGCTGTGTGTCTTCTGCTGAAAGGGGGTGCCATGTTTTCTGGTCTGGTTTGGGGAGATGGCTAGAGAGGTGGGTGCAGATAGAAGGGAAGTGTCATCCTTGGAAACAAAGACAAACAGACCTTCTCACATACATCTGGTGCCAGCATGAACTTAGACGAGCTTCCATCACGGGTCCTGAACCGTGGGGCTTTGGACTGATCCAGGGAGCCAGTTCCTCCCCTTGCTTCCCCAAAGCGCCATTTCACAATCAGTACATTCTCTGGTTGCTGACATTTGTGACAGGGGGACTCATGGCCAAGCCCTCACAGCCACTTCTGAGTAACCCTCACAGCAGGCTGCAGTCTGTAGGAAGTGAGTTCTAGGGGCTGGAAAGGTGGCTCAGGGGTTAAGAGCATTTGCTGCTCTTACAAAGGACACAGGTTCAATTCCCAGCATCTACATGAAGGCTTACAATGCCTGTAACTGCAGATGCAGAGGATCAGACTCCCTCTGAACTCCAAGGGCACCAGCATTCACATGGTACACATAAATGCATACAGGTGCACATACACACACAAATAAATAAATTAAGAAATAAAAAAAGTATGTTCTGGTCTGCAAAGACTCTGAGAAGCAGAATGTGAGCAACTAACCCAAACCCTCAACAGGGAGATGCCAGAGCAAGGATTTGTAGCCAGGTAGTCTGGTTATATGGGTCACACTCCATGTTACCTGGCTTCTGCAAGGCTAAATGAAATCAAACTCAGAAATACTCCATGAGGAGTAATTGCTATCATGCCAAGTCTTCAAAACATGCCACTGTCCTCAATCATGACTTCTAAAACTAGAACATGCAACATATCACAACGTAATTCTGTGGACTCCAAAATTCTGATCATGCACCTTAGGTTCTAAAACATCCTTAAGCATGTAAATACACATCCTACAGTTGCATATATTTACATAGATGATCTCTATGAATGAGATACTTGTCATCTTGTATACATGCACATAATATTATATTGGTATAAGATTTTTTAAAGAAAGAAAAAATAAGAATTCTGATCATTGTGCCTGCTCTTCAGGGAGTGTCTTGGCCACTCAGTATTGAGGGCCACTAAGAAGCCACCGTGCTATTGAAAAGATATCTCTGGCTAACAGATGACCCCTCTCTCACTCTATCACAAAGACTTGTGATTCTCTCTGCCCAGTCTGTAAGGAGTCATCAGATATCACAGACCTGCCCCTGTGGGACAGGAGGTTCAGAAATGGGCTGGTGTCTGTGGATGGCATCCATCGGCACCTTTAACTCTGCTTTCTACTTCCTGAGTCCCCATCAGTTCCTGGATCCTCTCAGATGCCTGGTCATGGTCAGCCTTTCCCGTCTCCCATGCTCTGGACTAAACTGCCTGAACATAAGTCAGTCAGTCAGTCAGTCAGTCAGTCAGTCAGTCAGTCAGTCAGTCAGTCAGTCTCTCCCTCTCCCTCTCCCTCTCCCTCTCCCCCTCCCCCTCCCCCTCCCCCTCCCTCCCTCCCTCCCTCCCTCCCTCCCTCCCTCTCTCTCTCTCTCTCTCTCTCTCTCTCTCTCTCTCTCTCTCTCTCTCTCTCTCGTGTGTGTATGTGTGTGTGTGTGATGGGGGTGCTGCATTTCAAGCCTAATCTTCTACAGAATTTTCAAGAAACCTTTTGCTCAACATACAAGTGGAGCCATTAACACACCAGACATTGAAGTAATTGAAAGTTTTAGTGGGCAACACTTGGGGCCATGTTTGGTATAATACTGGTTTGTACCAGGAGCTGAATAGGGTCCTATCCAAATATGGAGTTGGACTCCAGAAATGAAGACTCAGTTTCCCCTCCTTGGGAGCATAAATCGAAAGTGAAGCTATCCTGAAACAACTTTGCCTCCTTCCAGATTCACCCAAGGAGAGTAGAGCCAGGCTGAGGTTAGCTCTGCAGACATCTGCCTTGTGGAGTCTCCAAGATCCTTGCTACTGAAATAGGGGTGTGGCTTTGGTTTTCTTATGGAAGATGGGCCCCTGAACTCAGCTTCCTCTGATTCAGTCACTCAGGCCCACTCTACACACAGACAGCAGCCCCACCTCTCCCATATCCCCTTTGCCCTTCTGGACCTCCCTGACCACTTGTGAGGGAGTGCCATTCCCAGGCCAGAAAAGGCAGGCGGGGGAAGTCTGCCCCTGCGGGGCTGAAGGGCAGCTGTTTATATTATAATTAAGGTTTTACAGCATAAACTGAAATGTAGCTTGGCTATTTCAACAAGGCACTGGAGGTAATTACCACTGCTAGAGGCATTCTCCACTGCCAATTATTTTCCTCTAATTGAATGACTCAGGCCACACTATCTGAGACCAGGGAGAGGAAGAGCTTGCTTTCCAACGGACACTCCTTCAGAATCTCAGAAGAACAAGAGGCCTACCACACTCTCAGCCCAGCTCTGCTCCAACAATCTTCGTAGGCAGGTGGGACAGAGGGGAAGAAGGCCGGATCTGGAGTCCCACCATTGCAGGCTCAGGTGGAGTGAGCTCCCTGCTTCCATTCCCTTGTCTATAAGGGGTGAGAAGTAAATGAAATGCCGTATTGGTCAGCTTTTCATAGTTCTAAAAACATACTTGAGACAATCAACTTACAAAGATGGAAGGTTTGTATTGGCTCACTGCTTCAGAGGTTTCCAGCGCATGATAGGGCCTACGAGGCATGTTACTGTGGAAGCCCATGGAAGAGGAAGTCTGTCTACCTCAGGGAGGCTAAGAACAGTAAGAGACAGGAAGGAGTCAGGGCCCCAGCATCCCCTCCAAGACATGTCTCCATTGACTTAGCTTCCTCTTGGTGGGCCTAACCTGAAACTTCCATCAGCAGCACTGCAGGTTCAGGACAGATCTTGACACAGCACCTTTGATACACCCTTACCCAAAGCACGGTAATTCGAAACCCAGCACATGGAGAGCTTTTATAATGTCTGACCAAAGGAAACCATGCTGACAGACATAACCAGGAAGGAATCCATGCTTGTCTTTGCCTATACATATGGGAGAAACTGAGACAGAAAGCACATCTAGATCCCACGGAAATGAGGGCTATAGCAGAGAAAGTATGTGGCTACTTGGCCTGAAAGCATTGAATCCCTTTGATTGTGGTAGAAATGACCTCCCCTAAGAAGTTGACACATCTCTAAGACGCCCAGCCCCGGAGGATTTATATTCACTTCTACACCTCCATATCTTTATAAAGTTCCCAGCATTTTGCATAGTACTTCAACCACCCCCACCCCCACCTCCCACCCCCGCATCCCAGCTCAGGCAACCTCATCGTTAATATTGCATCCAGGCTTGCAGCACTTACATCTCTTCAATCTTATTCCACTGTCAATGTTCTCCGGTCCTTACAACCCCCTGACAGGTGATGGCCGGCGAGCTTCTTGGAAATTGACTTTGAATCAGTGTGATCTATATGGAACCCCATAGCAGCCAGCTCTGAAAGGTCATTCTATGCTTCTTCCTCATGTCCCTCTACCCTACTGGTAGATCTCTCCCTCCAAGAGATCCTAGGTCTGTGTGGAGTAAACTCTGCTAGAGAACCGTTTTGCTAGAGCAAGCTCATCCTGACACTGTCCCAGGGACTGGGAGAAGAAATAAAAACAAAGGCTTCCACCTACTCCAGAATCTGCACCCAGGTGGCAATGGAAGGCTCTCCCCAACACCTCATGTCCCACACCCCGACTCTGACTCTTTTCTTCTTTTAAACATGTGAGTGTTCATTAATTGTGCAGAATAATGGGTTTCATCGTGACAGTTCATACATGTAAACAACGCACCTTGGCCATGTTCACCTCTCATGACCTTCTTGTCTCCTCTGGCCCTCCCATATTTCCCCTTCCGCTTCCCAAAGGAATCTTTCTTACATTTCCACTGAGAGAAAAACTCGCTAGTTGTCTTTCTGTGACCTGCTTCTTTCAATTAACATGACAATCTCCAGTTCCACCTTTTTAAATTTTCAATATGCCTTTAGAATTTGACAGAAATGTCTAGTCAGATATGGGGGAACTGTCAGCAACAGCAGTGGTCCAGCTGGAACTGGTAGCCTGAACCTAAAATCTGTCATTTTACCCAGGCCACCTTCATCATTCTGTGAGGCCAAAGAGACCCATAAACCACAGTTATAGACTAGAAACACCCCTGGCTGCACTTTGACAACTTGGAAACTGTGTCCTCAGTAACTTGGTAATAAATTAACATTTCCAGACTAGCAAGCTTGCAGTGCATCTTGCTTGGGACTTAAAAGGAGGAGAGCTACACTTCCACCTTCCTTGGAACATCTGAGTCCCAGCACGCATCTGGTGAGTGGTCTACTCTAGAGAGCCACCTCCATAGTGTGCATAGGGAGACCCTGAAATCCCATTTA